CCTGAGGTAGTTGCATGTGCCCAACTGCCTTTGGCCTGTGTTAGGCCCAGTACCCGTATCCAGCCCAGGGCCTGCTTCACATACATTCACACAGGTGGCCCAGGGCCTGGGTTCACTCAACCAACTGGCGCTGCGCAACTGCCTGAATTTCCCTGAGTTGCGTGGTGGCCAGATTAGGGCCCTGAGGGCCTCGTCGAGCCTGCCTTCACTTAGGGCGGCCGACGGGCTGCAAAATGGGGCCTTATGGGGCTCATAGAGGCAGTGGCCTCGCATTTCTGCAGTTTTCCGAGTATTCATGTTTGGTGTGCTGATTTGCTGAAGATTTCTAAGTTCATGTGTGATTGCTGTTTTGCCTGTGTCAAAGTCTCTGTGATGCTTGCTAATCCTTTGTAGTAACTGTTCTGGTGCCGTCTGTTCTGTGTCTCGGAGGGGTAGAGCAGTAAATAGCTAGAACAACAGGGGTAGAGTGAAATTGGGTAGACAGACAAGGACGTGATAGCATTTCCCTGCATCTCGGGTGGCCCTAGAGAAGTCTAGTGGGCTTAGATCGGTCTGGTAGCGTCTAATGAGGTCATGGTGCTCCGGGGCCCGTATGTAGGTAGATATCAGGTTAGGTGAAGGCGCTGGAAGTGGATTGCAAACTGAAATGATGTTCCCACTAAAAGGGGAACTTCCGGTAGGGCTAGTGCATCGGTGAAAGACGAAGTGAGGGGCGGTAGAGGTACTGGAGGCCGGGAGTTGTGAATATACCATTCGGTGCAATGAGTAGGCCAACAAATTCAACCGGCAGTCACGCTGCTGTTCCATCCTGAGAGTGAGCGAGGCGGAGGTCGTGGTTGCAGCGGTGGAGAGAAGACGAAGAAGGCTACGGCCAAGTAGTACTAGAAGGGAGTAGGCCTAGGCTATGGAGTTGAAGGGAGAAGAACCTAAATTCAAGCCATGATGAGGGGTAGAAGAACCTCAAGCCAAACTATGAAGAGGGGTAGAAGAACCTCAAGCCAAGCTATGAAGAGGGGTAGAAGAACCTTAAGCCAGGCTGTGAAGAGGGGTAGAAGAACCTGAAGCCAATCTATGAAGAGGTGTGGAAGAACCTCAAGCCAAGCTATGGAGAGGCGCAGAGGACGATGGAGGGAGTCAACAATAGTAGTTGCATCTTGAAGGCTCCTATTGGCGCGGAACTTTGGTCTTGGACTTCATCCTGGAGTGTGGCTATGGTGGTATGAGATGGGAGAGGCTCAATAGCAGTTGTGGTGTCCTTGAACATCTGTAGCATAGCTACACCGGACCGGACTCCGGACGGAATCCGGACCCCGGACCCCGGACTTCCCGGCGACATCCGGACTTCCGGAAACCCGGAATATTCCGGAATATCCGGACCGGTCCGGAACCCTTGTATTTTCCGGGAAAAAAAAAAAAAAAAAAAAAAAAAAAAAAAAACCACTGTGGGGGGAATGATGATCTCAGGTCTGCATCTCAACAGTTCATGGGTGTGCAACAGAAGGCTGAATTATGCCGTTGGGCCGCATTGGCGATATCACCGGCCCCAGGTAATTCAGAATTATTTCATTCTGGTCATCTGATTGGTATCTGGATTCGAACGTGGGTCTGTATTGCAACAGGTCGTGGGTGTGCAAAGTGGGCTAGGCCCGTTGGAATGCCGTTGGCTTTTTGCCAACGGTCATGTGAAAAAGCCAACGTGTGAAAAATAGGCAAAAAAAAGAACTTAGAGAACCCGCCAAGTGGCGGGCAGAGGGAAACGTGGAACAGAAAGTCCCTCCCCCTCCTGTTGCAGGGGCCTATTCGGTTTTGTTTTTCTTTCTTTTTTTCTTGTTTGTTGTTTGCTGGAATGTACAAGGCATGCAATCCTGGGGAGGTGCGCACGCGTTGAAAGGGCAAGCCATGCCAATCTGCCAAAAACAAGGAAACAAAACAACAGAAAAACAAAAAAAAAATTGCTCCGTTGGAGAGCGGCCATACAGCTCGGCTCCACTACTCACCATATGGCATATGCACAAAAGACAGAAAATGTGGTGGTGTATCTTTCCATGTTGTAGCACAAGATTCATTTTCATTTTGCACTTGGTGAGTAGTGCAGCCAGGCCCAAAGCCCCAGAGCCGTTGCAGGCGCCCGTTCCGACAGGTGCTGTTTTTTTTTGTTTTTTTTTTTTCCGCTGTTTGCTTTTTGAAAGTAGGATCTTTTTTCGTTTTTTTTTCAGACTTTCTTCGTTTTGGGGGGCAACGTGGGGGGAAATGTAGTAACGTACGAAGCAGCCTATCCTGGGAAGATACGGGCGCTTCTGATAGTGCACAGTTCGTTTGCTTTGAAACGAGTGCAGGGCGGGAAAAGAAAACTTAGGGCCTCCGTCCGGCCCTGTCTGGATGCCACATCTAAATATTAAAAAACCGCCCAGCATTTTTCCACAGCGGCCCAAAATGGAAGAAAACGACCTGGGCGGCCTGAAAAAAATTTGGGCTACCCCCCATTTTGCCACCATCCGGACCAGGATCCGGAGACCTGGACCGGACGCCGGACACCGGTCAGTCCGGATCCCTGTCCGGCTGTCCGGATCGTAGCTATGATCTGTAGTGATCATGGATTTTTCATCATAGCTAGATCTGTAACCAAGAGGAGAGGAGTGGTTAGCGAGAATGAAAGGAGAGTTCTTTGAGTGCTGTAATGGGGAGCAATTTGATCGTTGATTCATTCATTTATTGCTGTAATTTGAAGATTCGTCCAGAAGGAGAGGGAGTGAAGATCATGATGTTGGCGAGACGAGAGGGAGATGACATTGGTTCAAACTTCAAACTCTGTATTTGTTCTTTGTCTTTGCCTCCTGGTCTCCAGTTGAGAAACCTTGCAGTGTCGCAGAGTTGAGTTTTGCATGTTGAGTTGAGCGGGGTCAGAACTCTTGACAAGTTTCAACTGACTTTTTCCTTCTCATTATTATTTTCATGTCCATGTTTCCAGTGAAGAGTATGACCATTGCCAAACAGCTTTGGATCAAATGCCAAGGACCCCTGAGGAGGAGAAATATGCTGCAAAGCTGCGTGCAAAATTGTCAAAGAAGGCATCTCAAGGATTTGGGTCTATTAGCACAGCTGCTCAGCAACGATATTGCAAGTATTTTGAAGAAGTCCTCAATGCACCTGTATGCCTCTTCTTTCATGACCGCCTTCTTTGGATTTCACTTTCCCCCCCTCGAACTTTCTGAAGCCGTATGTCTGGATGTATGGGGTGACTGGGGAAACAACTTTTCTCTCCTCCTCTGAAATGTGCTTCGGACTTCAGGTTGGAAATGTTTATGTTTGTTGCCCTATGCCAAATGCCTGATCCTGTGCCCAGTGGGACCTTGTGCAAGGGCAAGGCAATCTATAACATGAAACCATCTAAAATGGTCGAGCAGGAGAAGTGTTCGGCCGAGCCCCTGCTTGGCCATAATCTTGTTTATGTTTGTGATGCTTTGGTGGGAAGTGATGTAGAACTCGGCTTCAGATTTGTATTGAGGTGTACCCGCTGGGTTTTGAAACCAGGCATGCTATTTAGTAGCATAGGCTACGTCTTCCCCCGAACATAATGCATATGTGTTGGATTCGAATACAACGTATAGGTTGCTTTCTATTCGAATACAACGCATATGGGTTGTCTTCAAATACAATTGCAACACATACTGTTGTAAATGAATACGGGACGTAGGTTGCTTTCTATTCACATACAACGCATGTGTCCTATTAGAACAACCCTTATATTGGAATATAAGGTATATAACGCATATGCATTCAATTCGTGTGATCGATATTTTTTTCGAAAGTCGAATACGACGCATATGCAATATGTTCGGGGGAAGACGGTAGTCTAGGCGGTGCCAGGCCCGTAGGTACACAGTTCCTTTCATATTCCGTGGCATGATACTGACCGCTGTGCAATCGGGTATGCGGTACAATGCAAATTTGCAGCCCTGGGTGCTTCACATTTTGCACTTTGCTTGTGTCAGGAATGGGGAAGCATTTCTGACTGTCCGACATTTCAGGCAACAAGGTCATAGTTTCTGATATCTTTCAGACTGCAATTAGTTGCAATACTGTTTGTTGCATATTGGACGGTGTGGCTGAGCGCCCAGGGGGGAAGTTGGAGGCTGTGCTAGGCCCGTAGGTACGTGGTTCTCTTTCATATTCCATGGCACGATACTGATGGCTGCGTGAACGGGTATGCTGTACAGCTGTACAATCCAAATTCTCAGATCTGGGTGCTTCACATTTTGCACTCGCTTCTTTGAGGAATGGGGAAGTGTCCGACATTTCGGGTGGCGAGGTCGTAGTGTTTTATTTGTATTTTTTATTTGACAACTTAGAATCAGTCATCTCTTATCGCACTACATCACAAATATTGTCAATTAAATGAGCGAAGAGCGCATTTGCTGAAATGAATCATCCGCATGCTCATCCGTGTAGCACATGCTTTTGTCCTAACCCTCTCCCCTCTCCTGTCTTCCTCCCTTTTCCCCTTCCCCTCCTCCACCCCCCCACATCTTTCTGCACTTCGTTGTCCCGGATTTGCTGAAATGAAGCATTTCTGACCATGGTAACCCTGGACCTGGACACGGGACCCTTCCGGACTGTTTCCCTGACCATTGTCTGGACCGGTCCGGACTGTCCAGTTTTCCGGACACCACCGGACACTGCCGGACACCGGACTGTCCGGACAGGCACCAGCGGTTCGGGGATGTCCGGACCACAAAAAAAAAAAAGAAAAAAAAGAAGGGGGGTGGGGCGGGGGGATGGTGTTGGCAGGGACTCGCCTGTCTTGCTGCGAATCAACAACCACAGTTAACTAGCAAATAGGCAGAGTTCCGAAGAGTGCAAAGCAGGTACAAAACTAAAGAACAGAGGGGAAAAAAAAAAGTTTGAAAAAGTTTAGATAACTTAAAAGCTTGAACTTAAAGATTCTTCAAACTTGCCTTTGTCAGTGCTCTCTCTCTCTCTCTCTCTCTCTCTCTCTCGCGCGCGCGCGCGTTAGTTGGATGTCTTCGCAATTTAGACGGGTTCTGATTCGGAGTAGCCCTCTTCCTCCGATGAACAACCATCTTTCTCGTCGCCTTCGCCTTCGTCCTCCTTGCCACTGCCATCAGTCCCATCGCTGCCACCACTTTCGTGGTGACCATCGCCATCCTCCACCTATACGCCATGAAAGTTGCAATAATGAGAGCGAGACGGAGAGAACCTCTATCGCCACCCCCCCCTCTTCCCCCAACGCCAAGAAAGTTGCAATATAGAGAGCCCAAGATCGGATGCGACGAGCGAGCAAATGGCACACACACACACACACACACACACAGAGGACCCATAACCCCAAGATCAAACGCCAACAAGAGAGTGAGAGAGAGAGAGAGAGAGAGGAAATCCGTAACCCGGAGATCGAATGTGAACAAGGAGATGTGTGTGTGTGTGTGTGTGTGAGAGAGAGAGAGAGAGAGAGAGAGAGAGAGAGAGAGAGAGGAAATCTGTAACCCTGAGATCGAACATGAACAAGATCAAACGCGATGAGAGAGAGAGAGAGAGAGAACCCGTAATCTCAAGATCGAACACTGACGAGATCAAACGCACACACACACACACACATACAGAGAGAGAGAGAGAGAGAGAGAGAGAGAGAGAGAGAGAGAGAGAGAGAGAGAGAGAGAGAGAGAGAGAGAGAG